CGAGATCGTGACCTGGCTGAAGTCGGACGCTTAACCGACTGCGCCACCCAGGCGCCCCCGCCAAGGTAGAATCTTACAACATTTTTTGAACCTAATGTTCTTTCCTTCTTCGTATTTACCTTTCTCTTTGCTATCTTCCTTTATGTTGACTTGTAATGCCTAGAATAATCTCCAAACAACATCATCAAGCTGATAAGGTCAGCAGGAATAATTTCTCTCCTTGTATTTACAGAAGGCTGTAACTCAATGAAGGCAGCAACCTTCAGTTGTATGTGAAGAACGCTCGAGAGGCTAGAATTGTCTCCTAGGAAAAGAAATCTAAACATTCAAATACATGAGCAATAAAAAATATCTCGGGGGTGCCTTGGTGGCTCAGTTGGTTGAGTGTCTGACTCTTGGTTTCAGTTCAGGTCATGATCTCATGGTTGGGGGATCGAGCCCCGCACTGGGCTCTGCTCTGACAGTGTAGAGCCTGCTTGGGATTCTTCCTCTCTCTCTCTCTCTGACCCTCCCTCACTCGTACTCTCTCTCTCAAAATAAATAAATAAATAAAGTTAAAAAGATATTTTGGAGGGTCCTGTAAGATTCTAGAAATCAAAGGGTGTGTATTGGAATTTAAACCTTTTACTCATCACCACAAACTCCTCTGTATCATCTCATTCACAAGAAACAAAAACTCAAAGATCATACTAACTGGAAGTTGACTAAGAAAACAAGAATTGGAAAAAAGGGCTTATTTTGTGCATCCAATATTCTTGATATCCTTATCACCTATGGAAATTAAGTTGAACTTTTCTAAACTCCTTAATTGTTCAACCCCATGCAAAGAATTTTCCATCGAAACTAACTTGAGCCACAGCTCCCTGAATTTCAGTGGTGAGATGACGAAAATATTCTAGCCCCCAGCTGCTGTGGGGCCACTTTCAGGGAAGGCGAACTCTATGAAATTTCTCTCTTTGCCCACGTTTTTTCTAAGACAGTAACTCTCAGGGACTTGAAACTCGGGCCACTCGGCCTGCCTTTTCGGTAACCATCCCTAAACAAACCGAACAAGATCATTACCCCGACTGATGGGTGAAATGTCAACTACACTTCCTGTGTACTTTTCAAAATGGGGTTTGGGAACGCCCCGGGGGACATGAAGCCAGAGGACGTGCACTGGCCTCAGGAAGGCCAGTAACGCCCAGTGTTGGTGAGGGTGAAGGGAGACCAGAGTTCTCATTTACTGTTGATGTGACCGGAAAATGAGAATATTTATCATAATTTAAAGTGCAGGCCCTCTGCCCCAGCAATCCTACTTCTAAATGTTTATGTTTGCACAAACGTACACCCTGGCCGCCACCGCTGTCACCACCACACACACCCACACCCACACTTACTGTAAATCTCGATATTAGCTAAAGGTCTTTAATTAGGCTTAGCAATGTTATCCACATTCAGACAGTAACAAACACTGATCGATCATTAATGATGTTCAGTTAATGTTGTTAAGAATAGTTTTCATGTCTTCCAAGGTTAGGCATGAGCAGGAATTCAATGGCTACAGGTTACATGGGCATTAGTCTGGCTGCGGCTACACGGTGAAGGAAATAACGAAGTCCATTCTCCACAAGATCTGTCATGTTTGGTAAGAACTCTAAGCAAATTAGTAAGGCAGGTGTAGGCAAGAAAACTGATACTCATACCTCCTCCTCCAGAATGTCACAAGCCAAGTGGATGCGGGACACGTCTACTTGATGGGGTTCTGACTTTAACTTCCGGGATCGTAAACTCCACAGTTTTATACAGGAGTTGTCAAACCCCGCAGCAAGCAGCTTGCTGTCTGGGGAGATTTCCGCAGTGTTCAGCAGCTGCTCTGTGTTATAGAAGGCATAGAAACAGATGGTGGTGAGGGAGGGAGGGCCGTCCTTGACGCGCTTAATGCTCTCCTGCAAGACCTCCAGGGCAGCCTCGTTCTGCAGGAGAGGGGCGGGCATGTCGGCGGGCTCTAAGCCGTTGCCCTCGCTCCGGGAGGAGCCGCCGCTGGCGTAGAGCTGGTAATCCGTTGTCTTGGCAGGCTGCACGTCAAGATGGATATGCAAGGTGAGGACTTTGCACAGGGCGGTGTTGTTGTCGCTTTGGAGGTAGCGGATCAGGTAGTTGTAGCTGTCTTCCTGGAGACGGACCACGTACTTGTTATCTAGGAATGCTCGAAGCTTGAAGTTAGACAGGATGTCCTGGATGGTTTGAGTGGTCTGTAGCTGCTCAATGACATCCTTCTGGCTAGCGTTCTGCAGAAACATCCCATGGAAGCGGCTGTAAAAACTTTCCACTGTGCTCTTAGGACTGTTCTGGACCAGGTTGAGATGGAGGTAGACAAAGAGAGGATAGAGGAGAGGCATCACTTCGTGGCTATGCTGGGAATCAGAATCTACAATGAAAAACAAAAAACAAAAAACAAAAAACGAGGGCTTTATAATCAGTATAATTTCAAGGGATAATGGGACTCTCCCGGGGAGCCCACCATCCCAGAACCCTTTCTGGTCAGGACTATCGATTGAAACAGAAGCCCAACGTGGAATTGTGCAAATTCAAAGCCTTTTGACTGAAGAAGGAAGAGCAGGGACTCTGAAGTCCAGCAAAACTGGGTCTGAAGTCGGCCACAAATCGGGACTTTGATGCCCAGAGAGGTTAAGTGACTTGCCTAAGTCCTCACGACACTTCAGGGGCTTGTGCCCAGGGCTTCGAGGTTCAGTACTTTCCCTTCAATATCTGTTTCTCAAACTGGGGAGCGTGGACCTCTGAGGGTCCTTAGATATATTCTTGGGAGACTGTGAGTTCTTCACAGACACTTTTTAACTCGATGATGATTAAAAAAACAAAAAACAAAAAAACCCGAACACAAGTGTATTCAGAATGGTCTGGATGGCCATTAAGCAAGTACTGACATGCGATTTTAGTGCTCGATTTAATTTTGTGATTACTTCTGGCAGCCGTCGCCTAAAGTGATATCAGGGAGTACTTATTTTTGTGAGTTCATTACCGTGTTTCCCTACCCAGGCTGGCACGCCCCAACACTAAGATGACAACATCCATCCCTTGTTGTCCCATATCTGCCAGTGTAATCATTTTGATTATGTTGACTACAAAATAAAACTTCTCTTTTGCAGTGATAATTTACAGATGAGACATTTTCACGTCATTAAGGCTAAACCATTTACTAATTTGAGACTTTAACATCAGGAAGCTACGTGACAAAGGATGTTCAAAAAAGCGTCCGGCTTTAAATGTCACAGGCGAACGAGAAAAGCCCTGAGGTGTATCTGACACCTACGTTAAGTGAGGGCAGAGTGAGCCATGAAGGCACAAAGGTCGTTCAGCCAGAGGCCAGTGGGGGTGGCAGGACCTTACGTGGGGTGCAAGGGCCTCCGGGAAGCTGAGTGCAGACTAGCCTGTGTCACAGCCAGCAGCACCGTCCCCAACTCCACCTGGAGCGGCAAGTTAGTTCCGGCAAAATCCATCCGATATACTCACTTGCTGTTAATGTGAACTTTAATGCTTTTGTGGTTTTGCTTGCACTTGATTTGTGAGTTTCGGTTTCATTCGGAAATACGGCAGCCATAAGGGTTTTATATCTAGCGTAATGTTTGCACATCAACAAACAAGTACCCAAATGCTTTAAGTCAGCATTTGCTGCTTCTGCCAGCATCTTTTTTTCCCCTTCGTGAAAAAGAATCCATTCATGGCTCAAAATCAGGAACATCGGAGAATCTTGCCTCCCTAAGTTGATGATAAATGATACCAGAATGGTATCTCTACCCAACACCCTACTTCACTTTATCGCAGGTGAATTAATTGTACAATACGTACAGTTTAGAATAAAGGCGTCCCTACTGCAAGTCGTGTTTAGAAAATGAACTGAGGGGCGCCTGGGTGGCGCAGTCGGTTGGGCGTCCGACTTCAGCCAGGTCACGATCTCGTGGTCCGTGAGTTCGAGCCCCGCGTCGGGCTCTGGGCTTGATGGCTCAGAGCCTGGAGCCTGTTTCCGATTCTGTGTCTCCCTCTCTCTCTGCCCCTCCCCCGTTCATGCTCTGTCTCTCTCTGTCCCCAAAATAAATAAACGTTGAACAAAAAAAAAAAATTTAGAAAATGAACTGAAATTGCGACTGTCACCAGGCCGCTCTGGGCTCCTCCTGTCTCCATCAGGCAAAGAAGGAAGTTGCAGTGCTGGCTGGGCCGACTGATCCTGACTACCAAGGGGACGCTGGACGGTCACTCCACAGTGGAGGAAAGGAAGGGAATGTCTGGACTACAGGAGATCCCTTAGGGCATCCCTTGGTCTCATTCTGTCCCTTGGTTAAGGGTGACGGAAAACTACAAGACTCTGATCGAGGCAGGTCCAGTAATGGCCCAAGGCTCTTCAGAAATGAAGGTGTGGGTCATCCCATCCGGTAAAGACCCAGGACCAGCTGAGGGGTTCGCCGAAGGGAAAGAAAATACAGAACGGGTAGAAGAAGGTAGTTACCCACCAAGAACGAAATATGTGACCAGTTACAGAAATGAAGATTATTTATGTAACCCTCCCTATTTTGTTGTGAATATGTGTGCGTGTGTATATCTACCTATAGGCAAATATCTTTGTTTTCTTTCCTCTCTTAGTCCCTTATCATGTACACAAGTTGCTCTGATTTTGTATCAGAGTATTTAAGTATCGTTAACTTTATGCCATAGTATTTAAGTTTCAGGACATCAAGGAAAAGAGTAAATCACCTAAGGACTTTGTTTTTTCTTCTGGGGGAAGGATTAGTGCATTCTTCATTGTCCTCAGGAGAGCTATATCATGATAGGTGGAATAATGACCTTGTTAATAATCTTTATTTGGAGAGTAAGTACGCTTTCAGGAGATGGGTGCGGGTGCCAAGTTGACAGGGGGTGGACTTGTGGTGGTGAATTTCGTGTCAACTTGGCCCGGTCATAATGCCCAGATACTTAGTTAAACATTATTCTGGATGGTTCTGTGAAGGTATTTTGTTTTGTAGACGCGACTAACGTTTAAGTCAGTAGACTTTGAGTAAAGCAGATTATCCTCCATAATGTGGGTGAGCCTCGTCCAATCAATTGAAGGCCTTATAAGAACAAAGATTGCTCTCCCCGGAAATCCAGCCTGCCTGCCGGTTCTGAGGATTTTGGACTTACTAGCCTCCAGAACTGCATGCACTGACTCCTTGAAATGTATCTCTCTGCACATATGCCCTATCAGTTGTGTTTCTATGGAGGGCCCAGATACAGACTTTGGTCTTTAATTCTTTTTTTTTTTTTTAATGTTTATTCATTTTTGAGACACTGAAAGAGACAGAGCAGGAGAGGGGGAGGAGCAGAGAGACAGAGAGAGACACACACACAATCCGAAGCAGGCTCCAGGCTCTGAGCTGTCAGCACAGAGCTCGGCGTGGGGCCCTGAACTCACGAACTGTGATATCATGACCTGAGCTGAAGTCGGATGCCTAACCGACTGAGCCACCCAGGCACCCCAATTCTTTAAATGCTTCTTCTGTAAATGCTGTAATTCCTTAGAAGAGCTCCCAAAAATTTTTTCTTTAGAAGCTGTAATTTTTTTTTAATTCTTGTAGGTCTATTTACTTTCGAGAGAGCAAGCGAGCGTGAGCGGGAGAGGGGCAGAGAGCACAGGAGACACAGAATCCAAAGCAGGCTCCAGGCTCTGAGCCGTCAGCACAGAGCCCGACGCGGGGCTCGAACCCACAAACTGTGGATCATGACCTGAGCCGAAGCCAGACACTTAACCAACTAAGCCACCCAGGTGCCCCTAAATGCTGTAGTTCTTTAGAAGAGCTCTGGAAAATTTTTTTCCCCAAAATACTAATGAAAAAACCAAAACCAAAACAGCTCAATCCTTATCAATTGGACTTCCAATATACGATGGGGATGAAGAATTGTTTGCAATTCCTTAAAATCTTAGTTTCAGGCTTCCTTTTCAAAATGAGAGGCATTTTAGTTTAATAAGTTTATTTTTTTTTTTTTTTCAACGTTTATTTATTTTTGGGACAGAGAGAGACAGAGCATGAACGGGGGAGGGGCAGAGAGAGAGGGAGACACAGAATCGGAAACAGGCTCCAGGCTCTGAGCCATCAGCCCAGAGCCCGACGCGGGGCTCGAACTCACGGACCGCGAGATCGTGACCTGGCTGAAGTCGGACGCTTAACCGACTGCGCCACCCAGGCGCCCCTAGTTTAATAAGTTTATAGAAAGAACCTAGCCAGCAAGAAACAGGGCTGCACTGCTTCAAAACTGACTGAAATTCACTGCTGTTTCAGCTCAGTTTCAAAATTGCTTAGCTGTTCTCTCTTGTCTGAAGAGAACCGGTCAGGTATAAAATAACATTTTGATCAACATACTCATTATGTGGAACAAGGTGAGACCCACACGATCAATCTTGTTTCCTTGCAATCATAACACGCACTTTGGATTCTGCTCAAAGGGGACCCACTTAAAATAGATTTTTTTCTAATTTCAAAAGGAGCATGTCCTCCGAAAAGCATGATTCTCTTTCCTCCCATCCATCTACCCGCTGGCTACGTAACAAATGCCTACTTGGAGCCACACTCCTCTGGTGGGAAAGAAGAGGAAGCTTTTCGTGGAGTTTGCAGAAATCAGCAGCGAAAAGGACACGAGGTTAAGTGAAAACCGAGCTTGTCAGTCTGTGTCCTCCTGCCTGTCTCTGTGTGGTCTGACCCCACTACGTGGCACCCCGGCCTCTACTCTGAAACCCCACACTGCCCAGCTTGACTTCTCACGTCCCTCTCTCCTGGGCTCCACTTCTCCCTCGTGTTCCTCAAATGGTCATTTCACTTTCAGGAGTGAACACGGAGTGTGTGTTTCCTGTGACCCAGGCACCTGACATCCGTCATTGTGTCTAAGGGTCACGGCTGGCCCCAGATTCACACCCGGACCGAATGGTTCCAAAGCCTCTGCTCTTCCTACTGTGCCTCCTGAAGAAAAGGGCCCACAGCAGTAGGTGAGCTCCCAGAATCTCTCGCCCACAGATAACTTACGGAGGAAAAAAACACTCCGGGTGCTCCAGCCTGAGAGGCTCTTATTTTCCTACTATCTTCGAGATTTATCATCTCCTAAAACTGGAATTTGCACCTCCGTGAAGCTGATGCTGAGTTCTTTATCACAAGTCTGTATCTTCTCTTAAATACTAGCCTCGGTTTCCTACTGCAGTCTATACCGTGGGAGGCCACCATCATCATGATGTACAAGGCACAACCTGACTTATTTCTGCCCAATGTAGCTTAAGCCCCGGTTTGTCACAGAGCCCGAGTCATCCTCCTTTGATCTTGAGCCTTGGAGAGTCTACCTTGGAAATTTAATTGTGAGATCCAGACCCTGTTTTCCATTTTCACACCTCCGCTGAGTTCTGGTCCTTACTCACCTCGCTTCACAAGCAAGTACTGTAGCGGACTTCAGGCTGGCCTCTGTGCCATCCCACTTGCAAACCCTGTCACCAACTGCCTTTAGACTAACATTCCTGTTGGTTGTCTCCGCGAGGAGACAGGAAGAGGCTCACGCTTCCAGGCCCAGTGGTCAGGTCTCTCCTCAGCCTGGCTCCAAGGTGTCTGGCTTTGTCTGCAATCGGAAAGCCCTGTTCTCAACCAAGCTCGTTTTCTCCCTGCTCCTAGAGGAGAAAATTGCCATCTCTACTCTCTTGTTCCTATCTTTTCCCCACACCCCGAATCCTCCTCCTCCTCCTCCTCTTCCACCGTTTACTGAAATCCAACCCACCTTCCAAATGCTAACTTAAATTCTACCCCCTACTCAGGAAGGCCTTCTCGACTACCCCAACCAACGTTCACCTTTCTTTCAGAATGCGACTCCTAGACGTACAAAATTCAACACTGATTTCACACTGGCTTGTGAAAATTCTTCCACTATATTTGAACTTTATTTAAAAACTTTTAGTTTTAGACTTCTGTGGTTAGGATTGCTTCTTACTTAGATTAATTACTATATCTTATACTTTATTTCGGTGCTCAGGAAACACTAGTTCATTTGACTTGGTTGACTACTCTTCAGAGGCCTGAGGGTATGCAAAAATGTCTCAGGAAAAGCAGTCTGTAAAAACACACGACAAAACATATATTCACCCCCTCCAAATAACCTGTGCCCAGTGGATTAAGGAATTATAGGTAAAATAACAGACAACTTCCTCAGTTTTGAAACAAGACAAAGGAGAGGGTTAATAGATTACAATTTACTGCAATGTAAAGTTCTGGCTGAAGGAAATTATGAGATGAGAATAAAGAAGATACCACATATTAGGAAAAAACCAGCATCCTCAAATACAAGGAGTTAACATTTACTCCATGTTAAGAGTTTGAGCAGGTATATATATATTTTTTTAATCTTTATTTTTGAGAGAGAGACAGCATATAAGCAGGGGAGGAGCAGAGAGAGAGAGGGAGACACAGAATCTGAAGCAGGCTCCAGGCTCTGAACTGGCTGTCAGCACAGAGCCTGACGCGGGGCTCGAACTCATGAACTATGAGATCATGACCTGAGCCAAAGTCGGACACTCAACCGACTGAGCCACCCAGGCGCCCCGCAAATATTTAAGAATAACATCAAAAGCCCAAAGAAATAAATTGAAGCAGAAAACGTTGCACCAGGGTAAATCACATCAGTGAGCAATTAAATGTATTAATAATTCTCCATTGCAAGAAGTAACCACAGTTCTGTATCATAAAATTATTCCAATGAGCCTATCATATCTATGCTTCATTGATTTAAAAACGTAAACAAAAATCTATACAGTATCACTACAGTCACGAGTGTCATGCATAATGGCAATAAGTCGTATCTATGACAAGAGTCATCTCACGGGGTGAGTACAGGGAAGGCATCACTATTGTAATGATACATTGGGGCTTTATGCTTTTGTCTGTCTCCCTCATTAGACAGTGGGCTCCACATCAATACTCTCTATTGCAATACCACTGCTTAACATAAATATCGGCTGAATGGATCAAAGAGAAAGGCTGAGAAGAGTTAGGCATTCCTTTCCAAACCAGCTTCCCCACCAATAGCACAGAGAGACAAATCTATCGTGGAGAGAGAAATAGAGCCCTATTTTAAAAACAGAGTAAAACGTCTTTCTAAAGACTGAATTAAAAATTTTGAAATACTGCTTTAAGCCTCCAAAGCGAATGCCAATGATTAAATTATCTCCAAGTTCTTGCTTACCTCTGAATGAAATCCTTCTTATAAATTCAATTTTTTTTTTTTTTAATCCTTACTGGAGATGGAGAGCAGCTGATCACTGTTCTGAGATATTTAACATTCATATGATATGAGGATCTTAATGGAATTTCTTTCTTTTCAGTTTAAACTTAATAGACTCTTTTTACTAAACCTTTAAGTTTCATGATTTTTTCATTTTTGTAACCATTTAAAAGACTACACTTCTGAATTCCATCAATCAACAACTCTGAGGCTGATAAGATAACCCTCTCTAAGGTTTTATTTCGTAACGTTTATTCCCTGTAACATTTTGGCCATTTTCCCCAACCGCAGGACACAGGAAATATGGAATCTTTCCTTTAAAATACAAACTATTAGGGGCGCCTGGGTGGCGCAGTCGGTTAAGCGTCCGACTTCAGCCAGGTCACGATCTCGCGATCCGTGAGTTCGAGCCCCGCGTCGGACTCTGGGCGGATGGCTCAGAGCCCGGAGCCTGTTTCCGATTCTGTGTCTCCCTCTCTCTCTGCCCCTCCCCCGTTCATGCTCTGTCTCTCTCTGTCCCAAAAATAAAATAAACGTTGAAAAAAAAATTTTTTTTTAAAATACAAACTATTAGAGGTCAAGTAAAATCAGGACAACCCTAAGTGAAATAAAACTAGATGTATTATTTTGGTTTATAACTGATTGCATTAGATGCATCTTTACCATTAAAGATTATTATTGAGGATTTTTCAAATAAAAAAAAAAGAAAACAATCTCAAAGAGTTTTAACTACAATTTACTATTAACCATTTTATCTGTCAGTTACTCTCAATCCTTTGAGGGCAGAGAATTTTGTATTTCTTGTACTTCAAGGTATCGTATATGAAGAAAGTACTCAAGGAAGTTTGATTAATAACCTGAATCAAGCTGGTCTCCCTCACTGCAATAATCTTTCCAACATTAAAAGTATAATCAGTCATCTTAGGACTGGATGGATGAGAACACTTGGTTATACCTTTGAATCGCTTTTTCTTGAAAAAAAAAAATTTTTTTTTTAATGTTTATTTATTTTTGAGAGAGCGAGCGAGAGAGAGAGCGAGAGCATGAGTCGGGGAGGAGCAGAGAGAGAGAGGGAGACACAGAGTCCGAAGCAGGCTCCAGGCTCTGAGCTGTCAGCACAGAGCCCGGCGCAGGGCTCGAACCCACGAACTGTGAGATCATGACCTGAGTCGAAGTCAGACACTTAACCGACTGAGCCACCCAGGCGCCCCTTGAATCACCTTTTCTATTTCAAATACAAGGAAACCAGAGCCCCAGAGAGGCCAAGCAACTCCATTTTTTTTTTAAGTGATTAATTTAAAAAGTCATACAGGGAGTTAACAGAACTGATCGGAACTCGTATCTACTGATTTTGCATTCTAGTGGTCATTACACCACCCATGAATGGTCTAAATTACTTCTAATTTTTTATCTTGCTGATTCATGAGAACAACAGCCTTGCACTTGGGGAAATAAGGGGAAAAGCTCATCCTGAGATGTGCTATATTAGTAACAGCAATTTCAATGTACATTTCAAATTCTCTACATTTAAGTATGTTTCTCTACACGGCTGATTGAGCTTTCGCTGTTTCAACCCAAGTTCTAGTCACTCTGCTGACAGCCACAGATAAAACGGTGAACAAAACATCTGGAGCCCTGGTTCTTGCACACTTCAACCTTGCGATTTAAGTCTCTCACGAATTCCAATAGATTGTAATACTGAGTACAAGGGCTGTGCGAAACCACCTTGGAATCTCTACTATGTACACCATACCTGGAATATACTAGCTTCTGAGGGAAATTTGCATGATTCTTTCTTGATAAGTAGTAGTTCCTAGTGCTGAGTACTTACCAGTGAGAAAATTCCGTAGTCGTCCAAACTGTACTTCATATTGCTGGGGCTCTGCCTGGCAAGGGGCTGCGGACACGATGTTGGCACAACCGGATTCGGATTGGACTAAGGCGGAAAAGATACACGAGATGGGGATGGGAAACACAATTATTAATCCAATATGTGGCAGGATGGATGGACGAGGGTGTTGAGTACGCATCAGTAGCAATGGACATTTCAGTACGTTTTCAAAGTATGCTGGGACTTCTGGTTAAATATGACCAAGTGATGACACCTATGTATCTCCTCTCCTTCCCGATACCCAAAATAAAATGACAGTGGAGGAATGAAAAGGTATAAAGCACAGAGAAAGGTGAGTGAGAGGACAGGTCCATAAATTCATGAGAGACCTATCTGAAAGCATCTGACCCCATGTTCTGACATCCTACAAGAAGGTACCTTGGTGTGGGTCTATTTTCAACCACCGTGATGAACACTTAGTGGGCCCTTTCAATTAAAATTCATGTCTCTTGGTTCTTTTTTCTTTTTTTTTAATGTTTACTTATTTTTGAAAGAAAGAGAGCAAGCAGGGGTGGGGCAGAGAGAGGAGAGGGACAGAGGATCTGAAGCAGGATCTGTGCTAACAGCAGAGAGCCCGATGCGGGGCTTGAACTGTGAGATTATGATCTGAGCCAAAGTCAGACACTTAACCGACTGAGCCACCCAGGTGCCCCCTCATGTCTCTTGGTTCTGAGAAATTTTGTGATTCCGTTTCCTTTCTGGGACCCCTACTATTTCTTTCTTCTTCCACCCCCCCCCCTCCTTTTAAGTAAGCACCAGGCCCAATGTGGGGCTCAAACGAACGACCCCGAGATCAAGAGTCACATGCTGTACCAACTGAGCCAGCTATGCACCCCTGGAAACCCTACGATTTCAAGGTTAGATCTCGTTTCCTCAACTTTCAGCCTTCCTACTGATTTTTCATTTTTACTACCCTGTAGTTAAATTTACCAAATTTCTTGCTGTTCTCTGAATGTTCTTTGTTTTTTTAAAAGTAGCATTCTCTTCTTGTTTCGAGGCGATCATTGAAGGTATTTTTGAAGTTTTCTTCTCTCAGCTGTCTGCTTCATCCAAATTGCTTCTCACGGTTTCTTTCCACATCTCCTTTTCACAGAGGGTATGGTAGGTTCTTTCATGGCTGAAAGTGAGGCCCTACAGAGCTGACAGAAACTTCGTATGCTTATCACCCAGCATGACTTGGATGGGCTATTTCCCAATGTCAATGTCTTTGTAGGTCTTCTGTCTTGGGCAGGTCAGATTCACCAGGGAAGAATCTGTAATCACCTTCCTGAAGGATATGTGACTGGCTACTGGTATTCTGGGCAGCAGAATGTGGGCAAGAAGGCTGGAGTCTTAAATTCTTTTTTTTTT